CTTCGACCGGGTCATCTTCTCCCATCCCTCAACCCCGGTCGAATCCCAACCCTAGCATCCCTGAACCACAACCATTAAACCAGATGCCCGGTGACCTTTTTGCGGAGAGGGAGGAGCCGGTAAACGACGAACCGGCCCCCTACGACCCGGAAAAAGAGACCCGGGACCAGTGGGTGGAGAGGTTAGATGCAGCCGGTTACTCTCCCCTCCCCACCTCCTTCGTTATAGACATCTACCCCCATGTCTCCAAAATAGCCCTGAACAAGGCCCGTAGGAACCTCCCGGTGGGCTATGTTCTCGAATTCGACGAGAACTGGCCCAACATCATCGAACCTCACCGGGAGGATAGGATAGGTTTTCATATCGCTTCCTTAGAGAGCGGTATCGTTTTTCCCCTTCGCCCCCTCTTGGTTGAGTTGTGTCACTGCTTCGGGATCCTTCCCGGGCAGATAACACCCAATGCTCACCGGTTGCTTAACGCTTTTGCTAACATCTGCACATCTCTCCACATCGACCCCTCCCTTCGCCTTTTCCTTTATATGTTTGAGGTTCGTCCCGGCAAATCGGGTTGCGAAGGTTTTGTCTATTTTAAGGGACGAAACAATCGTAAGTTCATCTCTGACCTTCCACAAAGCAACCGCTTGTGGAAGGAAAAATTTGTCTTCATAAAATTTCCCCCCACTGTCACTCCTTTGGCCGGCTTGAAGTGGAGTGATCATCTCCTTAAATACCAGTTCACCGAACCGCCGGCCACCCCGGACCTAGAGGAGAGCCGGGAACAGCTTCTCAAAGGGGACCCCAACACCGGTCAGATGTACCACTACGGGGGTTGGGTCTGGCGCGTTCAACCGGGTGACGAGGGTACCTCCCAAGTCACCCAGGTATCCATCTATCTCCTTCTCTTTGTTTCCCTTATTGCACCGGTCACAATTTGAACACTTAGAAGTTTTTTTGCCTGTTTTTGTTGACATGAATTTCAGGGCGTACAACATGCCGAAGACAACCGGTGGCTCCTCCTCCGCTGCTGCCACAAACAAGCTGGTGCACCCGGAGGCGGTTGTGATCAATGATGAGGACGAAGACCCTCAGACCGGGGGGATGGGCCAGACAGGGAATGCGCCGGTGAATCCCTCCCCCAACAAGGGGAAGGGAAAGATGAGGACGAAGAAGATTGCAACCACTCACCCGGCCGCGAAAAGGAAAAGGGGAGAAAGCTCCCCGGTTGGTGAATCGATGGAGGAGTTGTGGGTCAAGGTGACCCTTAAGCTGAAAGAGGTAACATTCTCCCGGTATGTTACCTCTAGCAATCCGCTTGCTCATTTCCCTGACCGGTTTATTTTCTAATTCGCAGATGGGCGAGGTCGGCCCAGATACTTTGGAACAACTCGCCGGTGATCCGTCCTCCCGGTTAAGCCAACTCGAGCAGCAGCTGAAAAGATCCGAGGCTCACAACCGGGAGCTCCAAGATCTGACAGGCCGTCAATTGGATGAGGTAGCCAATCTTGCAAGGATGGCCGGGGAGGCAGAAGCCAAGGTCATCCGGCTGAAGGAGGAGAATCTCAAGCTGATGGAAGATTTGGAGCTGAAGGAAAGGGAGTTCCCCGGCAGGGCCAAGCAATGGGCGGGGGAGAACTTAGAGGAAACGGCCCGGGTGATCACTTCTACTCCGGAAATGACGATGGAGGCCTTCAAGTTCATCTACCGGGAGGAGTAGGGGAAAGAGATGATCATGCAGATCGGCTCCTACGGTTTCATGTCCGGGCAAAAAAGAGACCGGGAGGCTACACATGCAGTCCTGTCTGAGCGTGACCCGGCCTTTTCTGCTGAAGCCTATGGCCTGGCCCCCATCCCGGATGATGAGCCTGCACCCCCCTTTCTCTTGCAATGAATTCTCCCCGGATCCGGACGGTCATCTTTTGTAAACTTAGAAACTTGAAATTTCCCCGGGAATGCCTGGTGTATTTGTAAACAATTAACTTTCTTGTTCTGTTGAATGCCATGTTTGTTTTTCGTACCGGTTACTTTTCCATATCCGCTTGCTTCATGATTGTTACTTTTTGTTGCTTCTTAGATATTCTGACCGGTAGATATATCAGACCACTCCTCAATTGTTTTCGACCGGTAGAACTTCCAAGTTCTTCTTGATCACTTTATTTGAAAGTTCAGCTCGAGTGACTTTGACCGGTTAACTCCAACTTGATGGTCACTTTGAAAAAAGTTTGACCGGCTGGACTTCAACCTGAGTTTTTGAACACCTTCGTTCTTGTTTTGAAAGTGAGGCGCAGTTTGACCGGTAGGTTCCTTCTCCACGGTCTGACCGGTGAACTGCTTCGCCTTGTGGAACTTTCGAAGTTCCGCTGTATCAATACCCAACCGGGGTATTTTTTTTTTTTGACCGGTAGGTTGTAGATGGAGCACCTGTAACCTAGTAATTTCTTGAAATATCCTTAACCGGTAAGAATACTGGAGATTTAACCATGTTCGAATGGTTTCGAACCCTCTCCAAGGTTCAAATGCACCCTTCTTCCAGGGCCCCCTCTTCCGGGTGATTAAGTCTTTTAATGGCCCTTTGATTTCTACCTTCCCGGGAAGGCCTTAGCTCACCCCCGTTCAAGTCTTCCCTGAGAAGGGGGAAATAGGATGCGCCACGGTGGACGATCCCCTTCTATTTCTTTTAATGGGCATCTTTTAGTCCCCACTCAGTTTGATGGCGCCGGCTGATTCCCCAACACTGGTCAAACCTCATGGGGCCGTGTAAGTACGGTTCGAACCTTCTTCCAGGTCCAGCCCTCTTGCAGGCATACCCTCTTCCGGGCCCCTCTTCCGGGTTTTATATTTTTTCTATTATACTGAGCAAGACCGGTGTAGTAACCAGCGTGCCAGGTCCGGGCCTGTGTCTCAGTTGGCTTATCCGAGTGGATCCGATCCACCCGGGAAGCCCTCCTAGGATAGGTTCGACCTATCAATTCTGCTGCTACCATGTAGAGTATTGAATGTCATCGGTTTGATTGATAATAAAGTAGGCCTTGCCTAGTATTACAATCATTTGTAGAACTTGCGAAGATGATGGGAATTCCAGGTTCTTTCTACCGGTACACCTTCAAGAGTTTCTAACCGGTAGGTTCCCGGGCAAATGATAGCTCTCACCCGGTAGGGCCCTTCCCAGTTTTTGGCTAGCTTTCCTCCGTCTCCCGGTCTACTAGCCTCCCTTCTTCGCAGGACTTCATCNATGGCCACGATTACAAATTTCTTCCTTCCTTGGGCGATCGGGAATGCCCCAATAATATCCACCCCGAATCTAGCAAAAGGGATGACATTTGATACGGGGTGGTAGTAGGTCGCCGGCCTACCGGGGTACTTGTAGAACACTTGGCACGTTCTGCACTTCTGGACGTACCTCTCGCAATCCTGGACAATTGTTGGCCAGTAATACCCCAACAAGATAATGCGCTGGGAAAGGGTTCGCGACATCTGATGCGCTGCGCACACCCCTTCATGGACTTCTGCTATGACTCGCTCAGCCTCCCGGTTGGTTAGACACCTTAGGAGCGGTCCTCCAAATGCCCTTTTGTACAGCTTTCCGTCAAGGACTTGGAACCGGGGTGCCCTGAGCTTCACTTTTCTTGCCCGGTCATCTTGTTCCGGCAAGATCCCGTCCATCAGATATTCCATCAGATCATACATCCAGTGGTCATCCGCCCCGACCAAGTTTGACCGGTCAGGTTGGCTTGCTCCTGTTATGGCGGCTACTTCCAATTTTTCAATGCTGGCATGATCAAGAATTTCCACTCGGGCAAGTTTTGAAACATGCTCGGGAGCATACTGCGTCAATTTGGAGAGGAGGTCTGCATCCGCGTTCTCTGCCCGGGGGATTTGGGCGATCTTGAATTCCTCGAACCCCTTCAACAAGGCCAGTACCAAGTCTTTGTACTGCGCCATTCGTCCTTCCCTAGCTTCCATGTTACCGGTCACTTGCCCAACGATCAAACTGGAATCAGATTTGATACTGACCCGGTCGATCTTCAGGGCTTGGGCGAGTCTGAGCCCTCCAGCCAGAGCTTCGTATTCTGCCTCGTTGTTCGTCAGCTTGAAGTTGAAGATGATTGCATGGTAAATTTTGAATCCTTCCGGGGTGGTAAAGACTATACCACCCCCGTAGCCTTTAGGACCAGACGCCCCGTCCACTGCCATCTCCCACCACTGTTCGGTAGGCTTGTCGACCGGTGCATCTGGAGTTACACCGGTCATCTCCACAAGGAAGTCCGCCAGGGCTTGCCCTTTGATTGCTGATCTCGGCCGGTACTCAATGTTGAATTGAGTTAACATCATCGCCCACTTCACCATCCTCCTGGAGGATGTTGAATTTCGCAACACTGCACCCAGCGGTTGGTCAGTCAAGACTTCTACCGGGTGAGCTTGGAAGTAGGATGTTAACTTTTTTGCGGAGATGAAAAGCGCGTAGGCTGTTTTTTCCATCGCCGTGTATCTACTTTCTGCTCCGTTTAGTGCCTTACTCACATAATAAATGGGCTTTTGTGCCCCATCATCTCTTATTAAAACAGAGCATACAGCATTTGGGGAAATTCGCAGGTACAGATACAAAGTTTCACCTGGCTGGGGTTTAGACAATACAATATCCGACACTAGGTACTCTTTCAGCTCTTCGAATGCCCTCTGGCACTCCTCGTCCCATGCAAATGTATTGGCCTTCTTCAGGACTTTGAAGAAAGGCAGGGACCTCTCAGCTGACCGAGAAAGAAACCGGCTGAGTGCCGCTAGACGACTGGTCAACTTCTGGACATCCCTCACTGATGTAGGGGCCTGCATCTCAGTGATAGCCCGAATTTTTTCTGGGTTGGGCTCTATTCCTCTCTTGGTTACCATGAATCCCAAGAATTTCCCGGTACGAACCGCGAAGACGCATTTCTTAGGATTCAACCGGAGGTTGTATCTTGCCATGATATCAAATGTGGCACGTATATCAGCCGGGTGATTGAGGGATACCTGGCTTTTGATCAGCATGTCGTCGACATACGCCTCCATGGTCTTTCCCAGTAGTGGCTTGAAGATCTTGTTCACCATGCGCTGGTAGGTTGCCCCCGAATTCTTCAAGCCAAACGACATTACCCGGTAACAATAGGTTCCTTCGGGTGTGAGGAATGACGTCTTCTCTTCATCTTCTTTGGCCATGTAAATCTGGTGGTAGCCTTTGAAAGCATCCATGAAACTTAGGAGTTCGCACCCCGCAGTTTCGTCCACCATTTGATCTGGACTGGGAAAGGGGTATGAATCCATCGGACATGCTTTGTTCAAGTCCGTGTAGTCCACACACATTCTCCATGTGTCACCTTTGGGAGCAAGGACTACATTGGCCAGCCAATCCGGGTATTTTGACTTCCCGAATGTGACCCACACCAAGGAGGTCCTTCACCTCCTTCTTGACGAAGTCTCGCCGATCACTGGCCAGGTACCTTTTCTTCTGGCGTACCGGTCGACTTTCCTCCCTCACTGCCAACTGGTGACAGATGATTGAGCGGTCAATTCCGGGCATATCTGCCACGCTCCATGCAAATATGCCTGCGTACTCTTGGAGCACCCGTGTAATCTCTGCCTTGAGATCTTCTGGGAGGTTTGCTCCAATTCTGACCATCCTTGATGAATCACCCGGGTGAAGTTCAATCTCCACCGTCTCAGTTTCAGGCTCCAGTTTCTCCCGGGTTTCTCCCTTGGTGATTTCCTGGGAGATGACGTTGACTCCCTTGGTCATCTTTTTGACCGCTCGGGCATAGCACTCCCGGGCATTCCTCTGGTCGCCTCTCACTTCTCCCACACCGCTTGGAGTGTGGAACCTCATGCACAGGTGAGGCATGGAAATCACCGCCCCGACCTTGTTGATGCCAGGCCTTCCAAGGATGGCGTTGTGGACGCATTTGATGTCCACAACGATGAACCTCATCTTCTTCCACACGGTCTTTTCGCCCGATCCTAGTTCGACCGGTAGAACTATGGACCCTTCAGCTTCCACCGTATCTCCCGTGAAGCCTGAGAGAGGAGTTTTGAGGGGTTCAAGTTGTGTCCGACACAACCTGAGTTTTTGGAAGGTCTCTAGGTAGAGGATGTTGACACTGCTGCCGGTGTCAACAAGTACCCGGGCGACGTCCACCCCGTTGATGTCCATGGTAATGACCAATGGGTCATTGTGATCTTCACCGGTAGGAGGGAGGTCCCGGTCAGTGAAGACTATTGGCTCCCTCCTGGGATACTTACGCCTGGCTGGTTCAGCATTCACCTCCCCAACGTAAATGCTGCGAACCCAGTTTTTCCGTTGCGCGGCCGAATCTCCCCCTTCGGGTCCGCCAAAGATCATCCCAATATGTTCTTTGTCAGGGGCAGGCTGTTGCTCCCTCTGCCGGTTGTTCCGCCGCCGGTCATTGTCCCGGTCATTTCCCTGGGTTGCTGGCCTTACCCATTGGTGGTTCTTCTCCTGGGCTTTCTGCAGGTAATCCTTGCCCAGTTCCCCGCTGTCTATCATCTGCCGGATCACTCCCTTAACACTCTTGCATTCGGAAGTGTTATGGGAATCTGACCTGTGGTACGAACAATAGGTGCCCGACCACTGCCGTCTTACTTGACCGGTAGGATTTTCCGGAGGGTTGACCGGGTAGGGAGCCGGTGCTTTCCTTACCTCCTGGCACTCTTCTGTGTTGACCATGCGGACGACCGGGTCGTAATGGTGCCTTGGCCGGCTGGTTACCGGAGCTTCTTCCTTCTTGACTTGCACCGGCTTGGGCTTATAACCATGCTCAGCTTCTTTCTTCGCCCGGAGTTGAGTTTCAGCCTCAGCAAACTCCCATGCAGTGTGGTAGGCCTCCTGATACGTGGCCGGGGGTTTTCGGCAGAACTCCTTGTATAGTTCCCCAGCACGTAAGCCATTCAAAAGAAGGGACAAGACGGTTTTGTCATCCATCTCTTCCACCTTGTCTACCTCTTCCTTCCACCGGGTAAGGAATTGGGTGAGGTTCTCAGATTCCCTCTGCCCGGCTGTACTAAGATAGGTGAATTTCTTCCTCTTAGTACAGTTCTCCTGAAACTTGGCCTTGAATTTTGAGGCCAAGTCACTGAATGAGTCAATGCTTCCTGGGCGAAGCTTGTTGAACCACTCAGTAGCTCGATTTCACAAGGTTTGGAAGAAAAGGAGGCACTTTTCTTCGTCTGTACAACCATTAATGGTTGCACTTTGATTGAAAGAATCCAGATGTATTTCTGGATCCTCCTTACCGGTAAACCTTGGGGCGTCTATCTTGACCTTTCGTGGGAAAGGTGTCAGATGGACCCTTGTAGTGAACGGGGACCCTGCGAGAGGTTTGTCCCGGTCATTCTTCTCTCCAACCTTCTTCTCCAGCCTCTCCAGCTTTGCCTCCATCTGTTGGACGCGATCATTAGGGGTGGTTAACCGGTTAGCCACCGGTACCCTGGGTTGGCTTTCTGCCTCTTCCTCCTGGCGAGAGGCCCTCGTCCTGGCTGGCTCTTGCCGGTTTGACCGGGAGCGTTGGGTGCGGGCAGGCTCGGCCTCCCTCATCTCGCCTAACCGGGCGAAAGCGCTGACATGGGCAACGCTTTGCCCCAGCCTTAGCTTGGCTGATTTTCTCTGGCCCTCCTCCTATCCCCCAGTCTTTCGAAGGCGGAGTTTCGGGAGGTGGCGGGTCGGATGGTTTTTCCCTTATTCTTCTTGTGGGTCCTTGGAATGTCCCACTCGTCGTCTCCGCTTTCAACCGAGACGCAGTGTCCATCCGGAGTGATTAGCGGATTCGTACCTTGCGGGGGACGCGATGGCCCTGCGGCGTTAAGCGCGCCTGCCAAGTTGACGGGGGCCACAGCGCTGACTAGCTGCAGCTGAAAAGGTGATGGTTGCGGTGCTGGTGTTTGGAAGGGAGACACCGCCATTGGAGCTTGTAGGGGCATGGTTCCCGCGCTTGGGAGAGCGAACAGGAACATACTAGGGAGGAAAGGCATCCCCCCATTCTGTTGGCACATAGCCATGACCTGGCCAAAGCCCTGGATGGCTTGCAAGTTGGCTGGGTCATTCATGAACTGGGTCATGCTTGGTGGAAAGGTGACCCTTGGCCCAGCGGAAGGGACGGGGGCCGTGAATGGGCTGACCATGCTGGGTGTTGGGACCGAGCTTAGTCCCAACGGCAAAACCGGAGTTGAAACGGCTGGCAAGGTAGCAACCATGGGGATGCTGGTACCTCCCGTGGTGGCTTGCACCTGAGCAGAAGTAACGTTGATTTGCTGGCTGGAAGACATTTTGAGTGGTGTTTTTGTGGGTAGGTCTGTATTTAAGAGAAAAAAAAACCTTAACGGTCCCACGGTCAGCGCCAAAAATGATGGTGTAAATTACTTGACCGGTCAAACTATACTAGACCGGGTCCAGAATAGTTGGCTTGATTCAGTAAAGTAAAGAAGGTAAAAACACTCGGAATGACCGGTAGGACTTTAGGTGGAACACCTGTAGCCCGAATTGTATTAAAACAAAGAATGCACAGTCACTTTTACAAGGGAGTTTAGAGAGAGTGAATTCGGATCCCTTTCTCCGAGAATTACAAGAGGTATATATACTAGGCTAGGGGGGCAGGACCACGTGCGCCCACGTGGGGGCATGCTGCTGGCGTGGTGTGAGGTGACTGGCTCTGAGCTGCCTTGTCATCTTGCGAGGGGGGTTGCGCCCTTGTCGTGTTCTGGCTTGGAAATGTTCCTTCGGCATCTCTGCAATTCCAACCACTACAGTCCAAGTCCTTTTGGATTCCCCCTGCCGACAATCTCCATCCTCTAAAAACCACACCGGTTGATCCCTGAAGGTTGGATTAATTGACTTCGGAATTGATTCCTGACGATGGAGTAAACTGACCGGTATACTATCCGAAGTATACCGGTCAACTTCATCGGTCAACCAGTCGTCCATCTGCCAACGATTCAGATCTCTCTCCTGAGTTTGACCCCCTTTGACCGGTCAACTATCCGGTCCTAACCTTTGATCGGTCTTGGGTGAAATACACCCATCAAATAAGATATAAAAATTACATATTAAAAAACCACGTCAAAAGTTCTACAAAACAAGAAGTGACAAGAATATTTTATTTTATCAAATACTTAATGAAATCGCGTAAACAAACAAAAGTTATCGAGAGGAGAGAGAAAAAAATTGTAATCTTTTTAGGGACGGAGGGAGTAATAACTAAAAAAACATAAAACTCCTTTAAACATCTTATACTTTCTCATTAAATACTTATATATTACAACAGTATTAATTACTATGAATTAGTTGAAAGTCGGACTTACTTCAATAAATATTTATTTTTTTAACACTGACAAAAGTAATAAAACAAGCATTGCATTTATTTAGTAATATAACAAATAAATGGTGTTTATAGTTTTCAAAAAAAGTGTGTGTTGGTGTATGTGTGTGCATGTGTGTACACTTTTTATTTTATGAATCTCTAAACACCTATTCCCTCCGTTCCTTAAAATTATTCCTATTTTGACTTTGTGCCAAACTAAGGAAAGTGTAATTTTGGTTGACTTTTCAATTTTTCCCTTGATGTGATAATTTGATTATTAGTGAAAAAGTATGATGTGATAATTAGGTTATGAAAAAGTAGGGGTAAAAGTGGTTTTTTAATAGAAAGTGAAAGTGTTTAAGAGAATTGAAAAAAAACGAAAGAGGAAGAGTTTTATGGAATGGAGGGAGTACTACTTTTGTTCTAGTGTAGTAATCTGAGTTTGACTTTTTTGAGTAAAATTAGAAGACCTTTTTACCTCAATTAAATACAAATTATAATGTGCATTATATTAGAATAAAAATTGTTTTAGTTGATTTATATATTTTGGTCTTATTTGGAACCTGGCTGTCGGCGATTGGTTGTTGACTGTTTATCTTGGCTGATATTTTATGATTGAGATTTATTTCCTAAATAATCATTCGAAAAAAATCTTACTTAAATGATGATTAATTAAAGGATATTTTGATATTTCCATTATCTAAACTTAAGATAAATTCTCTATATGTTCAATTCTATACAAATTCATGTAAAATTAAATAAATCATTGACTATACATAATCCATGAATTATTAAAAATCTATCAAAATATTTTAAAATTTGAATTAAATACACCTCCTTATTTAGAAAAGACTATTTTAGGAAAACGTAATGTCCATTAGAAAAGATAAATTTTAAAACTTAATCTAAGTTTAAATGATAAAAATATCAAAATATCATTGACTTAATTGACAATTTTTACGAAATATTATTTAGAAAATAAATCTCAAATCTAAAGTAACGTGTAGATCATTAAAACTTATTGAGAACTACTTAGAGAAAATACCTCATTATAAAGAAACATTTTGGGAATTTTACTCTTTAATATGCAACACTTTATTTATTTTTTCCCCTATTTTTCTCTCTTTTAAATTAAGAACATAAGTTTAAAATGTTATCTAAGAATACATTCAACTAGATGGAGAAGTGAAAAAATACGAACTAAATTACTTTTATTAATAATAAAAAAATCTTGTCATAAACTATTACATTACTATTTTAATTATGGTTAATTGGATCGTTGGCTCGCGTTTAACCGAATCAACGAGTCACTAGCGCGCTTGATCCACTCTTTCGTCTGGATCAATGTTTGGGCCGGTTTTCAAGAATATTGGACTATATACAGCTATATCTTTTTCAAAGACAACTATTTAAAAGATCCTAGCCTTTATTTTAAAAGGGTGACAACTAAGAAATTTCATTTTGGATTCATGCAAAAGGGAACCTTGGATCTATAATACGGAGTAATCCAAATAAAAACTAAGGTCTAAGCAAAGCAAAGAACCTCAAAAGGCACCCCCCCCTCCCCCCTCCCCCCCCCCCAATAC